TTTTGGGGGGGGGGGGGGGGGGCAAGAGAGGCCGCCGAGAAGGAGCTGGCACACGGAGACGGGGAGACGGGGACCAAAGACACGCTCGAGCCGCAAGAGAATTGCGCAGAGAGACGACACGCACAAGGCGTGGCACAGAGGGCCAGGATGGCAACCCGAGCACAACAAGTGATCTCTAGTCCAGTCAGCTCACAAGAGCCAGCGCTCGGGTTTGAGTGGGAAAATAGAGACAGCGCTTGAGCAGAGCATTCTCACAGAGGACGACACAATCATGATGCAACAGAACGTAAGAAAGATCAGCCAAAACCAGAGATGTGATAAATCTGACGAACGGAGACAGAGATTCTCTCGAGTCACACGATCACAGGCAGAGGTGCATCCAAGTAGTTGACGTCAGGTGACCGCGGCCATCGACCGCGGCGGCAACAGCAGAATGAAGAAGAAGCGTAAGTGCTTGAACGAATGCGCTTCGCTTCCTTGCCCCCCGTCCCCCCCTCTCCCACCGCCCCCCTTCCCACCCCGTCTTCCCTTCTTTATCTCTCATTCCCTCCCTTTACCCCTTTCTGTGTGCCTTTTGCGCTTTGCGCTGATCAATCGGACTGCCGCTCACTGGAGCTTGGTACAGCTCTGTTCAATGTCGATTTTGGCGCGGCCAACGAGGCGACGCCGGGGCCTTTGCCCGATTTGCTCCCAGCCACGGCCATTGCAAGTGGGCCTCCACCTGGCCTTGCTGCTCAACCCCCAGCCAGTCCCGTTCAGCACCTCTTCCCTGCCTTTGCTGCGGGCTCCGTCACACTGCCTGGCTCAGTAAGCTGGCCGTTCAGCAGCCGTCGTTGTTTCTTGGCACCTCAAAGAAATGCTGTGCTAACCGATCGACCGTGGCTCGCTTGCCCAGTCCGACGATGAGCCTGTAACAGTGACGCGCACTGAAGAATTCGAGGTGGTGCAACCGTTGGGTGCTGGCTCTTTCGGTGAAGTTGTGGGCGTCATACATCGCCCAACGAATCGTCGCATCGCACGCAAGGTACAAGGTCATGGAGATACCCCCCCGTGCAGGATCCCGATCGGGCTCTGCATATTGCCGTGCCGTCCCATGCCTCATCACCCTTGATCGCTTGTGCAGGAACTTCACCTTTTCCACGCTCAACGACAGCACGAGCAGGGTCAGAGTATTAAGAGGTACATTCTTGACCCAGCACACCTCGTTTCTCTCACTTCTCCTTCTCCTTCTCCTTCTCCTTCTCCTTCTCCTTCGCCTTCTTCTTCGCCTTCGCCTTCTCCTTCTCCTCCTTCTTATCCCTCGAGCTGATCTCGCCTTGTGCGCAGAGAAATCATGACGCTTCAAAAGAGCAGTGTTGGTCAACCGCACATCATCGAGTTTTATGGCTTTCTCTTCCAAAACGAGGTAAGAACCGCACCGCTGTGTGCCTCTCGGGCCTCATCTCCCGCTATCAGTCCTCATGGTGGTTTGCATGCCATGTTTCTAGCATACCATCCATCTGTTTGTTGAATGGATGAATGTGGGCTCGCTTCTCGTCCTCAAGACTCCGCGTGAAGGTATGCAGCCCAGTTGTCATGGCGCGCGTGTGCATAACAAGCGAGGCTACTCCCGCGCTGGCAATGGCGGCCACGCCCGTGCACTCAACCACACGCCCCTGCTGTCATATATGCTTTTGTACAGATACTCCCGCGCTGGAGGAGGATCTTCTATTGTATGTGACCAGTTGCATCGTTCGTGGCCTCGATTTTCTGCACAACACGCTGAAAATCGTGCATCGCGATGTCAAACCTTCGAGTAAGCACCCAGACTCACATCTGCCGACACTCCCCGCGTCCCTGTCACCCTCTGGTGGCGACAGCCAGCAAGAGTACCCCCCTTCTTCTTCGATTCCCCCTCCCCCGCTCACCTCTCGCGCGTGCATCTTTCACCATGACCACCATGACAGACGTTCTCATCAACACCAAAGGAGAGATCAAACTCTGTGACTTTGGCTTGAGCAAGGAGCTGGACCTTATCCGCTCGGTGGCGGACACCTATGTGGGTAGCATGTTGTACATGTCACCCGAGCGACTTGATCCCAAGGGGTTTCCACACGCTGACCGCTGTCAGGGCGACGTGTGGGGCCTCGCGTTGACCGTGGCCGAGGTCGCGTTGGGACGCTTTCCCCTTGTTCAGGACGAGAAAAAGTTGTCCACCATGCGCGAGCTGGAATGCGTGCTGATGACGCTACAAGCGTCCAGTCCCGTCTTACCCAGTATGCCGGCGCTCGAATCGCTCCTCGGAGACTGCATCAAGACTGATCCGGCGCAGCGAGCGACCATCTCGGCCCTGTTGGAGCGCCCCTGTCTGCAGGACGTATCCCGAGACCCCCTTCTTCTTTGGCTACGTGCTGCTGGATATCAGGATGAGCTGCTCGAGGCCCCTACCGCTACAGAAAGCTCGTGAGCCCAGAGGCAACGTTAATGAGCTGGACTGGAGTGGCTGAACCTGGTTATCCGCGCTCAAAGCATGCCTCGACAGCGCAGCTCCTTGTACAAAGTGTTGTATGCGTGTAATCTTGTCATGGCCCCGAGGACAAATAATCGAATGATTCTATTGAAGATCTGCATGAACCACTGCCTCTAATCGCTACCGGTTGAGCCAATGATGCCTTTCTTAAGAATGATGTTGGCGTAAAAGGCTGCTCCAGCCCGATCGTTCCCGCGCCGGTGCACCAAGGTGCGACACGTTGTAAGAATGTCATCATGAGGAAGCACAAGTGGGTGGGGTATCAAAAGCGCACTGACCTTCTTCGCCGGTCGCCACCACAACATACGCCTTCTTGGCACGCTCGTAAAATGCGAATCGCTCCACCTCTATGACAAGAGTGCACCACAGAAAACATGAACATGGAGACTGCTTTCACCACATGGGAGGTGCAGAGCCGGGGAAGGTGTAACGACATTGCCATCTGGGGGGAAGGGGGCACCTTCAAAATCGATGGTGCGGCCCTCAGCCTCCTTCACGGCAGCCTTGTACTCGTCCCAGATGGGAGTCTTCCAGCCCGCCGCCTTGTGCATGTCCATCATTTCCATGAGCGCGCAGGGACCGCACGTTGTGTCCAAGGGCAAAACCTGTCGCGTGTGGCCGAGGTCAGACTTCATACAGCACCGAGTGCAGTTTGGCACAGGATGTCAGCTGGACGGACCTGCAGGATGGCCTTGAGAAGATCAACGGCACCCAGTGCATCACAACGAATCACGTTGCAGGGCGTGTGGGCACCCACGCTCTCTGATGGAAAGTTGGCATCGCCCAGGACTAGCTCGTCGCCGTGTCCCTGCATTTCCAGCAGGCAAGGGTGAATCAACAATCGCCATCCGATCCGATCCCATTCACGGAACCCAAACCAGCAAGACTGCCCCTCGCAACCCATCTCCACTTGTCGCAAGGTATACAGCAGCCCGCCGTACCATCTTGGCCAGTGCAAAGAGCAGCTCCGGCGGCAGGATCTTTGGGATGCCCTTGAGGATGGTCATCGTGCACTGTTGTTAGTGTTGTTGATGTGTGTGTTGAAATGAATGAAAAAAGCTGCACAACACACACACACACACACACACACACACACACACACACACACACACACACACACACTACTCTCTCTCTCTCTCTCTCTCTCTTACCACACACTTCTTGACATTCAAAACGACTTTTTAGGGGAAGGCAGACAGGGAGGAACAGTTTGCTACGGCGCTCTGCGCTCACACCAAAATGTCAATTGCTATATTCGGCCCTACGGTCCGAAGATGATGGCACGGGTTTAGGCCGCCCAAAAGCCACCATCCACTGGGAGAATGGCACCATGCACCATGCCGGCGCGCTCGCTCAAGAGATAGACAATGGCATCAACCACGTCCTCCTCCTCGGCGAAACGGCGGAGAGGAATGCGCGCCAGCATCGGCGCAGCCTTGGCCTGGCACGAGCACGCAACACACAGAGCACGATCTCATGAGTCGTGGGTATGATCCTCGAGTCCTAGTCGCTGGAGTACACACGCGCCGCACCAACCTCATCGGACCAAGCCGCCTTGCCCATGTCGGTGAGGACCACGGTGGGGTTGACGCTGTTGACGCGAATGCCGCGAGGACCGAGCTCGACCGCCATCATGCGAGTCAGCTGATCCATGGCCCCTGCACCAGCACAAACAACAAAGGTTCACGACTTGCTTGAAACATAACGCTCCCTCTTTCACGGATGCCGCAAAGCTCGAGTAAAGGTGAAGTTGAACACACCTTTGCTGACGCAATAAGCCGTGTGGTCGGGCAGCCCGACTGTAGAGGCCTGGCTGGAAACATTGACGATGGCACCCTTGGCCTGTCGTGCCAGCATGCTACGTGCTGCAGCCTACACAGGGCATAGGCAGCAGAAAGAGTTACCACGTGCCACAGACAACGCAGGCCCCCAACACCAGAGAAACACGAGGGGTTGCGTATGCTGACCTGTCCAGCCACGAGAGAGCCAGTCACATTGACCGTCATGACCCTGATCCCACCCGTATGGCAAGTAAGCTGTAGTGAGGTGCCCAGCCATGCTGCTCGCTCGTAGTGTCTGTATCGTTTCTCAGCCTCTTTGGTGCGCTTTCCACTGGCATGACCTTACTTTTCGAATTCGGCAATGTCGTGCGTCTCGAGCGGAGCCAGATACGTGATGCCAGCATTGTTGACCAGCAGGTCGATGTCGCCAAGGCCGTTCAGAATCTCCGTGGCCTCGCTGGTGTTGCCCAGATCACAGTACACGCCTTCGACGTTCGGCACATCCTATGCAGTGAACGCGATGAGAACGGCCGGCATCGCCAAGCTGGATCATGGCCACTCACAGCAAACTGTTCCAGGCCGCTGCGCCCCAGGGCTTTGACATTGGCACCAAGCTGGGCCAGCTTCAAGACCGTGGCACGACCAATTCCTAAACGTGCGGAAAAGTGTCAGGTACAGGCAGAGCAAAGAACAGGCCTCCACTGATTGGCCTTGCACGATCAGTCACGGGGTCCCGCAAAGGGCAGCAAATACTACACACCTTTGGTACCACCGGTCACAACGGCGGTTTTGCCGGTGAAATCAACCGCATAGCTGCTGTTGGCGCGCGCCAGCAAAGGTCGGCGCAACGCCTGGGTGGCCTGTCGCATCAAAGACAACATGCTTGCCGATCTGCCAAAAGCAAAGGGCAGCGCAACGCTATAAGCACTTGTACACCATGACCTCGCGTTGCGCCAACCTCCCTTGCCCCCACCCAGCTCTACCCGTCCCATCTCTCTCTCTCTCCCCTTCTGCCCCCTGCGATCTCCCAACAGCTCGTCAGCGGCGCAGCACCTCGATCGCGCTCGAAACGAAAACACACACACACACACACACACACACACACACACACACACACACAAGAGAGAGATGACTGAAAGTGTGAAAACCCGATAAAAGTCGTCCAGACCTTGTTCGATACAATTAAGTGTGAGTAAAAGTTTCACTTCCGCTTACATGCTAGTGTGCCGGTGTTTGACGGGCGGTCGCGGCAGTTGGCGCGCGGCAGGCAGTCAGTGAGTGGGCTTGAGATAGCATTGACGCAGCGAGAAAGACTGGGTGTTGAAGACTGTTCGGGGGACAAGAGAAGGGGGTTTGTAACGGGTGGTGCTACTCGAGATGGGAAACTCGGCATCTCAGGGCGCCAAGCGCGCATATCCGCAGGCCCAGGCGGCGGCCAAGCAAGCTGCAGAGGTGCTGCAGCAGGCACCAAAGCAGGCAGCTCAGCGAAGCCAGCCGGCAACAACGGCCGGTGCTCGCAAGACTCAAGAGCAGTCACTTCCTGAGAATATGGCTGCTCAAGTAAGTGCCCCCTTTGTTGTTTCTGGAATTGCATCGCTTGCTTGCTGGCCTTTGCCCCTTGCCCCTTGCACGATGCACCATGGCAACTTCATGGTCAGGCGAGGCGTTGGTTTCGTGCGGGCCTAGCAAGAACTGAGTGCTTCCCGGTGTCTCACAGGCAGCACGTGAAGAAGAGAAGCATTGCCGGACGGCGGTCCCACAGCCTGGAGAAGTGGAAGACTCCACCACGTTCCTGGAGACGGTCAAGCAAATCTACGTGGCTTCCCAGGATGTTCAATCAAATCTACCTGCCGACGAGCTTGCGCAGCAAGCCGTGGCGCACCGCACCAAGCCTACTGACCGCCAGCTGGACCGCGCCCGTGAGCGCCTTCCCGCTTCTGAGCGTGCCGATGACGTTGTCGAGGGTCGTCTCAACTTTCAACAACTGCAAAACGTTTTGCGCCTCGATCTCGCCACCCGCCCGAGCTCCGACCTGACCAAGGTGGCTCAGAATCTCAAGGTCTCAGAAGACGACATTCGGCGCATCGTCTATTACTACCGGCTCCCAGTCCGCCCACAACAGCAAGAGGCCTAGCCGTGCAGCCCACAGCCGTGCAGCTCACGACCACCCAAAACTCCCGTAGCACCGAGCGAAGCGAAGGTCGAAGCAACGCCATGTCTTTTATGCTCCGCACTCTTGTTCACAGTGACCCCACCCTGCCCCGTGCCCATGATCACAGCTCGATTAACCTTGTCCGAGACAAGCGTCAACTTGTTGGTGTGCGACCTTCTGATGTCTCCGCAGACGTCGGCACATGCAGATCCGATAGAAAATCGAGTTGACTTGCTTGTTTTTCCCAAAACCACATACCACTTAGATACTGCGATATCGAACAAGCGATGGCTGAGCTTCTGCCGTGAAATAATCAATTCACAAATTGTCGGGATGCTCCAAGGGAGCATATCGGCCTTGACGCCGCGCACCAAGCACGGGTACCCGGTGGTGGTACTGAATCGCCACGCTCAAGATGCACAGCACAAAAAGCAAAAAGGGCCAAGAGAAGATTATAAGATTACAGATGGCACTGTCACAGATGACAACACAAAGGCTCTACAGATGTACATGCGACAAGCACGATGCTGAAGAAGCGATCGGCAAGAAAGCTCAGGCGTCGACCTCGTCACAGGCGCACCTAGTCAAAACCACGTCAAGGCCGTCAGAATGCATGCAGCGCCTGGTTCACGACTACGCCGCCGTCCATAAGCCGGGACTGAGAGGCCGGATGTGCACTTACTTCTTTGGACAATTTTCATCATCGTACTTGTAGCGTCCATTCCATTTTGAATCACGCTTCTCGCAGTAGCGCTCGCACTTATCGGCCGAAGGAGGATCCTTGCACGGCTTGCCTGGAGCACGATGGAATGAGCAAATACATCACTTTCTCATCCCGCTTTCTCAGCTGACTCGCAGGAGAGGATAGATCATACCTTGGCAGCAGCAAATGCCTGCACAATCAGCACCCCCCTTGAAGGGATCGCAGTCATCGCGAGGGTCATCGACACAAGTCTGGTACTCTGGATGGCTGCACCGCTGTCCCGTGATGCCACCACACCTGCGCGCGCAGAATCCCTGTTGAGCGAAACCCACGGAGAGTAGTCAACATCGAAAGCAGGTCAAACTTACGGCTCGGGATTGCTGGCCAGGCATGACTTGATATCCACGCGGCGGTAGTCTGAGCAGGGTGTACAGCGAGGGCAAACAAGCAGTCAGGCACCACCCAACTAGGCCACGATTTGCATTGACGTTGCGAGTCCAAGCAAGCGGACAGCCAGCACAGCTCTGTCTACTTACAAAATGGAAGGCAGACACCCATGCGCTCATTCTTGACTGGCACACATTGCAGACTAGCACATCGCGGTATCACAGCACAGGACAATAGTGGTTCCGTGAGATCAAAGCCGAACGATCGCAGATCGACGACCACAGGTGCAACTCATACCCAGCTTTGCAATCGCTGTCAACTCGGCAACGTGGCGCCTCCTCCTTCAGGGCAGCCTTGACCTCCGATTTGAGCGCCTTTTCCTCATCGCGACACTTTTTCGGCAGCTTGCATGCATCACCAAAAGGTCCCTGCTCTTGGCCAGGACAAGGGAAGGTCTTGCCGTCGCCAATGCTGTAAAAGTATGCGAGTACAGAGATGGTGTGGTCAGGCAATCGAAACGAAACGCGATAACTTGGGCAAGCTATTGGCATTTGAGCCGACTGTAAAACAAGATGCAAAATGACCATACCTAAACACCCATTCACCGGTAGTAGGGCAGCAAGCATAGCCCTCAAAGCCCATGGGGTTGCCAAATTTGCCAGGCTCCAAGAGTGGGTTGCAACATTGCTCCTTTTTGGCAACTGCAAGCCGGTCCAAAGTACACAAGGATGAGGATGGTGCATGCAAATGAGCGTTGAGAAACGAGAGAGAAATCTGAACGTACTGCACTCGGGGCACTTGATCATGCATCCACAGTCGTCATACTTGGGTCGGGACACGGCAGCGCAATCTGGGAGTCACGCCCCCAAAGACCGATGAGTGCAAAAAAAAAAAAAAACAGGAAGGGTGAATGAGACTCGGGGCCACACCGAGTCACAAAGGGAGCGCAGCGGCATGGTGCGCGGCATGGTGTAGCCAGAGTACAACTTCAGATGATCGATACGTGGGAAGAAGCCAGGAGAAAAAAACGTACCATCGGGGATGGCAGGGCAGAGCAAATCTTCGCAGTCGTAGCAGAGGCATCGAGGCTCTTGGTACTCGAGGCAGAAGCGCTTGGTGCAGTATTCAATGCAGCCGTCAGCAGAGACGGAGCAGGTGTTGCAGCCATCAAACCAGGAGGTGCAGTTGGCTGGGAGGTCGCAAGGATCTTGAGGCTTCAAGCACTGGCCACGCACACAGCGCTCGCCCTCATCGCAGCAGCTCTCAACTCCATCAGGGCTGGTGCAGATCTGCTCGCGGGGGCAAGGCGGGTCGGCGTCGCAGCGACCGTTCCAGACGCACTGGTTGTCAACGCAGGAGCAGGCGCCTGCGGGCCGGAAGTCCAGCAATTCGCACGTGGTGGCGACGTCCTCTGCGGCGCAAACCTCGCCCGAGCAGCCACTGACCACACAGTCAGCGGCGGTCTCGCACTTGTTGTCGGCACTGGGAGCCTCGAAGCGCTCATAGTACGGATGGTCTTCGTCGTAACACACATCAATGGGCACACATCGACCACCGCACAGCGGGCAGGCTGGGTCCATGACGCACATCTCATCGTCATCGCAGCAGAGCAGGTTTGAGGGATTGCTGGGATCGATGACATCCCCCTGCAGGCAGCGCTTCTCCTCGGGGCAACCGACCCAGGCTGAAACACAGGCACAAATCTCGCAGCCGTTCTCGTCCACTTGAAAGCCGTGCTCACAGTGCAGGCGGCAAGACACCGGTGGACAAATGGGCTGTTCGCAGTCGTGCACCCACGAGCAGGTGCCATAGCGGCACTGGCACGAGCTATCAGCTGGCGGCTCGAGCGTATATGGGCAAAAGTCGGCGTCCTCCTCAGCAGCACAGGCCTGGTTGTTGCAGCCCGTGGCGACACAGTCCTTGTCCGAGTCGCAGGCCTGGTTCAGTTCAAGGCCTTCAAGGTTGGCAAAATCGGCTGAATCTTGGGGCACGGAGAGGTTGCAGAGCGCCAACAAGGGGCAGGCCCGGCCAAAAGGACCTTGGGGAAACTCGGGGCAGTCAAACACGCCTTCCCGGTCACTCTCCATCCAAGTTCCCGTGGTGGGGCAGCAAGCATGGCGAAACTTGACGAGGGGGTTGCCAAATTGACCGGGCTCCTTGAGCGGATCACAGCATGGCGCCTCCCGGCACCGGCATACAGGGCAGTCGTTGTCATCCGTGACAAATCCAAAGGGGCATTTGAGATCGCAATCGCGCATGTCCCGGCACGGGCTGCATGAATGCCAGATGCATTCGTTGTTGACGCAGCCACACTCGCCCTGTTTGGACGGTAAGCAAGTGGTTCAGCCCATGAGTGTGTCACACCGACGACGCGCATGCACTCACGGGGAGTCGAGAGGGGTCATGACAGAAGCGTAGGCCCAGGGGCGGGCAGGCATGGCGACTTACGTTGGGCACCCACGGCAAAGCCTCGCAGGTGGTGGCATAGGCCTGGGCAGCGCAGACCTCTGAGCTGCAACCAGAGACGATGCACTCATCATCCGAGCGGCATTCGCGAGTACCAGATGGGGCCTCAAATCGTTTGTAGAAGCGATCTCGCTCATCCAAGCAGGGTTTGCGCTTCTCGATGGGGCGCGTGCAAACGCCAAAGCAGTCGTCGCAATCATCGTCGCGGCCACCCATGTCGCACACCAGGTCTGCTGGGCACTCAAAACCTGCAATGCCACCGCAGACTGTAGCGGAAGAGAGTTGGAAAAAAAACACACACGCAACATGAGCAACATCATGTCTGCGAGCGGCATGCTAAGATCGTGAGGGACGACTCAACGCGGGGATGCATGCGAGGGCAGGAAGCGGACCAAAGGAGCATTGTTCTTGCACGGCAGTGCAGTGGACGTTCTCGTTGAGGGCAGTCACTTGGGCACGCTCCGTCTGCTGAGCCGCGTCCATCTCACAGTCAGCCACTGGCGGCTTGTCGGCCTGCCACGAGAGGAGATGATTCAATTTTGGAGACATGGAGTTGGCATGGAGAGTGAGGGCCATGGCAGGGTTTGAGACGTCAGAGACGTCAGGCATGTAGGGGATGAGCGACGATTAGAGTGGATCAAACGGTGGACTGTACCGAGATGCAGACGGCTTGACCGCAAACTTGGTGGATGTTACAGTCTTGGGCCTGGGCTGCGCTGAACATCACTGCAAGCAGGACGGCAGCGAGAAGCCGCAGGGGCCGGCGTAAAGCGACCGGAGACATGGTGCTGGGAGGGTGACTCCAAGCAACAGCTGCCAGCAGGAAGAGCAAGTTGGGCTCAGTGGATCAAGATAGGCGTGAAGGCAAACGGGTTGGGTGTCAAAGAAGTCAAAGAAAGACGGGTGGCACCAAGGCAGATCGAGACCAGCCGCTCCGGATTGGGCTGGATTCAACTTGTGGCCAAGATGAGGATCGAGAAAAATGCTGTGTGCCGACGTCGTGAGCCCACGATCATCCGAGGTGAATCGTGTGGCCCTCAGGTTTCTGAGACTGGCCAATGCATGTGCAGTGGCAGCCAAAAGGGGCAAGCGTGACTGATCGTCGTCATGCACCCTGCGTCGCGCCCGGCCTAGAAGGCTGGAAAGTTGAGCAAATTCTTTCCCACGGACTGTCGTGATCAAGGAATGGTGTGTGTTGGTCGTGTCCACCCCATCCTGCGTAAAACCCTGGCCCACTGCTCCTGTGGGACCTGTGTGCAAGAGGAAGTCTTTTTTAAAAAAATATTTTTAAGCCTTGTGCGTCCTTGAGCCAAGCCGTGGCAGAGAGAGAGCCAGAAAACCTCTCCGCATTGATGACGACGATCAGGGGAAAGACCAGCCGACTTCCCAAGAGTCATGGGTATTGGAAACAATCAAGGCCACTCTGTAGCCTCTGTGTGTGTGTGTGCAAGTGCAAGTGTGAGCGTCCGCCGCGCGGTCATCCTTTCCTTGCATGCATGCACTGGGACAGAATCAGTGCATTTTTTATTATATTTTTCGTGTGTGGTGTTGGGGGGCAACCTTCAGCAGCAAGCGCGATCAAGCTACATGCCGGGCATGCTCGAGCGCTGGGCGTTTTGGGTTTTTGTTGTGCAAGAGGCAGCTGCTCTTGTTTCCAGCCGTGAGCTGCCGGGAGGTAAGAGAGGCTGACACTCTTTGGAAAAGGCTCTTGCCCTGTTCGAGTGACTGGATGACGACGACCAGGATGGCTCAGGTTTTTTTCCGAACTTGTTCGTATCACAGCCGGGCACGTTAGGCCAGAAATGGGACGGACCAGGCACGGAATTGTACACTGCCCGGCAACGAAACCAGTCCAACATTGAAGAATGCTTCAGCCGCGAGAAAGCAAATAGATGGGCAATGGAGGTAGGGGATGTCGCTGCCATTAAAGGTTGGTCAGTCAATTCACGCATCCCTTTTAAGTGGGCTATGTGGGGGCGCTCTCACTCGTGAACACCTCTGTTGAAGACTCAACATGAACATTACACGGTCGACACAGCCTCATACAAGTAGGCGTTGAGGTCAAAGTCGATGGATTGAGCCAGCGCCCGCGCTGTGCTATAGTCAATGCCCACCTTGTATTTACCATCGTCCAAAAGGTTGCTGGCCCGCACCTAACAAGCGTTGTGTGTGTTGGCCCCCCAAACAAGACCGTGGTCAGTGTGGAGGAAATAGTCGGCAAAATTATTACATGAGACAGACGCAATGCCACTTTGGATCGGGCACAAGAGCAGGCCAGGGCAGCAGCAAAGACAAGAAAGACAAAGAGGAAGGTGGATGGGCGCGTGTGCCAAGCTCGTCCGCACCTGATGTAGCATGCGAAGGGAGATGAGCGTTTGGATCTGTACTAGAAGCTCCGAAGTCGAAGTGCCAATACCATCATGAATGCTACACATTGGAACCAAGCGTTAAGAAGCGGACGTGGGAGGAGCGGCGGAACTGTTTCAGCCACCCGCTCAACATTCTGCCAACCCTTCTCCCTCAAACGCGCGACCAAAACGCCCGCGCAGACAACATCGTGGTTGATGCTACCTGTGAAAGATGGCCAGTAAACGATCGAGAGTAAACTGCCGTGGCCCCTTGAGGGTTTGGCTCTCGTGCATATGCACTACCGTGCCGCGCTTTGCCTTTTTGCTCTGTCGTCGCTGGCGCTACAATGCCAAACCCATGTCAACCGCAGAATCACTGGGTCGTTAGACAAAGCGATCACAAGACCCGGTCGCGGCCGGTGCGTTGTCGGACACACCTTGGCAAACAGGCGAAGATCGGCGCGGGGAGGATTGGATGAAGCTAGGTAGGCTGCCAAAAGAAGATACTTGGCGTGATACGGCAAGTCGAGGCGAAAGCCTGATGCCGCGCCAACACTCTCCGTGGCGTTGGCCTCGGGCGCTTGCAGCGCACCGGCCCATTCCACCGTCGAAACGTCGCGTAGATACAATCGGGTCAACTGCTTCTGCAGCACCGGCTTGATGCGCTGGAAGAGAGCCGAAAAGTTGTGCGGCTGCAGCTCACCCGATTGGATTGGCTCAAGCCATTTGGGCAGCAGGAGGGTCACCAGATGACCCAGCTCCGTTACCACACGGCAAGGGCCATGAAAGACGTCCCATAAAAGCTCCACAAAGCGTTGAAACAGCTGTGCCTCCACGTTCGCTGGTCGATGCAGAGTAATGATGCGCACCGTGTTGCGCCGATTGTAGGCCGGGAAGGGCACGCGCAGCGGCTCCACCATGCCTGTACCGCACTCAAACTTTTCCCACACAATATGACTGATGGAAACGACGCACACGTTACGTCTCGTCTACCATCCGTGCGCACAGATAGTCAGAGCACAAGTCCACCATCGGCTATGAAGGTCCGGTATTATGCGGTCGGCCTGCGGTGTGTTCAACACCATACCTACCAGCTCTTGTAGCCGAAGCAGGAGGGCCAGTAGCGTGGGCTTTTGATCTCGCAGCCGATCGCTATGATCTAGCACAATCAAAGTCTTTGCTGTGGGTGCCTGTGGAGGCAAAACCGGTTCCATTCCCGTCAGAAGACCGGGAGGGCGTCATGGCGTGCAAAAGGCGAGTATGAGGGAGTATTCGAACCGCTCGCTGGTCGATAATGTCGCGAAGGCTATCAACAAATGTGCTGGGGTGGTCGCATCGACCGTGGCCCGAGTAGCCGTTGGCTTCGCTGGGCTCCTCCCCCGCCAAAAGGTTGAGTGTATGCTCAAACACCAGGCGTTGCGAATAGCTCTCGATGCAATTGATCATGGCGTGTCGACCCGGGTAGGCCTAGTACATAGCAAAGAGCACATGTCAAGATTGCATGAGCCATTTTTCCCCGTTCACCATTTCAAGGGCCACATGGACCGCGACGCGCAAGTTGCGCGGCGCACTAGAGTTTCAATGAGCGCTCGCTCGCACACGCACCTCGAGAAGCGTCCGCATCACATGGCTCTTGCCAGTGGCAGTCGCGCCATAGATGTGCAGACAAGGCAGTGTGGGCGCCTCGGGTGCACCCAGCAAACTGAATAGCTGCTCAATCTGTTCTTCGCGACCCGGGCACTGTGCCACCACGGCTGCGGCAGCCGCCTGAACCTGAGGCGCCACCGGCATGTCAAAGCTGAAAAAAAAAAAAGAGAGAGAGAGAGAGAGAATTCAAAAGCGGAAGTGAGGTTTTTCTTACACTCGCTTGTTGTTATTTTTGATTTTTCCCTTTTTTGGGGCCTTTTTGCGAGGAAAAAAAGATGTTTGACCGAGATCAAAACTGTCAAAGTAAATTGGGCAAGGGATGATTGACAGGGGATTCACAGTGAACAATGGCCAGCACAAGAGCACGATTAGTTTCAGAGCTTGGCCCACAGGTGGCAGGCCAGAGGTAGGACCGCGGCCAGCAAGACGGCCAGCGCTGCATCAACCAGGGACAAGCCATTGGGTCCCAGCCGAGGTCGAACACCGGCCCCAGCCGGCAAGGGGCCCGGCATAACGTCCGGTCGAAAGCGGCGTCCATCTCGTACAAAGGCTTGGAGTGCTGCACAGGGAAGCAGCACGCTGGGCTCACGCAAGCGCTTGTGTAACTCCTCCATGCGTGCCAGCGCGCGTGGGGCGCCGAGCCGATCCGCCCAAAGGAAAAGCCCACCTTGCTGTGGCGGGAACCCAAGCCCCGCTGTTACAAGCATGTCCACGTCCATGGGCTCCTTGGCCACACCTTCGTCCAATGCCCGGCATGCCTATCAAATGAGCCCCACGCCACAAGGTCAAGCCGCAGGAAGCAGGGATGAGGGATTGAATGACTAGATCTCAGACAAAGGTGCGGAGCGTGAGGACCTCGTTGAGAATGGACAGAATGAGCGCGTCGGACACGTCAGCATCCGAAATGGGGTTGACTCGCTTGCTGTGCAAAACACCTTGCCCGTGTTGCGCATCCTCTTCCGCTGCGAGCCGGCTGCGCACAATCTGAGAGACGGCTTTCATCTATACATGCGCAAAGCGCGAGAGGGAGCAACCGGGGTCCAATCATCACACAAAGCGCTAGCAATCGTTGGCACAAGCACCTCGCAGGTAGCAGCGCTCGAGCAACAGCAAACAGGGCTCGCGAGGAACAAAAAGCGGGGCCAACCAAACACTGATCACGGGCTGACCTCGGGGTTTGCCTCGCCCTGTTTGCCTTCCTTCCACGCATAAAAGCCGGTGGACTCGCCCTGGAAGCTGCGGCCAGTCCAGCCACGGTCAAGCATGGCTCCCAAAAGGGCCTGTGCAGCATTGGCACCCGTCTCGCCCGTCAGGCCTTGGATGCTCTGGCCCACCATGCGGGCTGTCTTGAGACCAATGCCGTCCAAAATGGCAAACGGGCCCGCCGGAAAGCCTTGCCGTTGCATGACCTTGTCAATGCGTTCTTGTGATGCAGCCCCTGTGACGAGCAGATAGGCCGCCATGGTGTAAAAGGGGCTTGCGATGCGGTTTAAGATAAAGGCAGGACCGTCGCCCACGGTAACGGGCAGCTTGTTGCTCAGATCTGCCAAGAAAAGACAAAATATAAAAAAATATAAAAATAAGAATAAAAAAAAAGGCCGACATTGCCCACAGCGTCAAGTTGACGGGGGAAGCGATGATCCTTGACAACGGTTGAGAGGGATGAGAGGCAACATGATCCGCACCAGCAATGCGAAGGGCGCTCAGACGGCTCTCGTGGTTGCTCTCGGGCCCAGGAATGATTTCAACAACCGGCGTGACGTCGTGTTCGGGGTGAAAGTAGTGGACACCGACGATCCGGGCCTGTTCCGCAACGGGTAGGCCCTCGCAGAGCTTTGCCATGGGGATCGAAGACGTGTTGCTTACAAAAGTCGTGTTTTTGGTGGCAGACATGACCTAGTATTGTTGTTCGCCCCCAGGTGACTTGATCGTGAGCGCACGAACCACAGCCAACTTCTGAGAGCGCAGGAGGCAACAACCAGTACCTCGTGGATGAGCTTATGCTTGAGTGCCATATCCTCAGGAATGGCCTCCAAAACGACTGAAATGGCACCAGCTGCTTGAGCTTGCTGCTCAAAAGCAGCAAAGTCCTTTTCAGTGGTGTAGCTGATGGCTTCCATCCGTTCCTGGGCCTCGACTTTACTCATTCGGTGCTTGTTGACCTATCCGTTGCCACAGCCGAGAACAATCCCAAATCCGAGACATGAGTCGGCGCAAGGCATGTCGAAAAAAAAAAAAAAAAAAAGCATACGCATCACTTGGCCGGGCTTTGAAAGTCCCAAGTCCCTAAAATTGCACGAACCAAACCGGTAAATAGGCGCGAAACTCGCGTTTGTGCCCGGTCGATCATTTCCTTGTCAACGTCAAAGAATCGAACCGTGGCACCCTGGATGAGACGGACAAGAAAAACAAATAGCACGAGGCCATGGCAATGAGAGGCGCACATCCCTCAAACGCCGTGTGGACGGTACAGTGGTCCCGGCAGTAGTGGCAGTTGGAGTGAAGACTCGTGTTGACGTACATGGCGTGCCAGCTTTTGGCCAATGCCGACGCCCATCCATCCGGCGCCCACAACAAAGGCAAAAAGCGGTCGAGTATCAGGCTGACCATGACGAATGGCCGTGGATCGCGCCTTGATACTGCTCTTGGCCAGGAACAGACCCATCAAGCTGCGAGCCTCTGCCGTGGCCGCCAGCTGCAAGTAGCCGTCGGTCTCCCAGGCTAGCGCTTGTGCAAGTGACGAGGTACCCCAGCACTTGAGGACCGTCTCGAGGGCCACGTATGGTGCGATGAAATGCCTATGGGTCTAGTCGAGCCGAGGGATGATGAAAGCAGTAGCACAGGTATGATGTCAGATGCTAAATGGGCGTGCCGGTGCGGCGCCCAGCAAGGCCGAGTGGTTTGATGGTTGTACCTTGGCATCGATGGTACGTTTGGTCACGGTGTAGATGAGCTGTTGCTCGAGCCAGGTCTGGCCGAAGAGGTGGCTGGGAAATTTGGAGGCTGCGGGGACGTGGCGCAGTTGACCGCGCTGCAGCTTGTTTCGCAGCTGCGCCAAAAAAGGCGGTTCACTTGCGTCACGGGCCCAAGTGAGATGCTCGAGCGTGCCGTGCACGAGCTTGAGGCTCTGAGCCTTTTTCGCTTTGACTGTCTAGACGCATGAGGGTTACACGCACACGACGCAGTCTGCTGTGAGTAAGAAGGAGGGATTCAAGAAGAAGCTCACGCAAGTTTTGGGTGACGACGCAGCTGACCATACCTTTCCGGCCACAATCAGCTCGAGCGCGGGAGTGAGGCCAATCAAACGGGGCAAACGCACGCACCCTCCGGCACCCGGCAAGATGCCAAGCTGCACCTCGGGGAGGCCTATAGCCCTGCAAGTGACATCGGCAAAGCGATAGGTGCAGCTCAGCGCGAGTTCCAGGCCTCCACCCAGACAGGTTGCATTGATGCAGCAGACGGTGGGGTAGGGAAGATTTTCAATCTGATTGAGCAAATCCTTGATCTCCTCCACCATGGGTCGGGCAGCAGTGCTGGCCAAGGGAAGTGCAGCCTGGGCTTTGATGTCTGCGCCATGGCAGAAACTTGCGGCGTGGCGGCTACACACGACTACGAGCGCGGGCTCACGCTTTTGAATCAGATCAACAGCCTGCTGAACCTCCTGGCCCAACGTTTTGTCAAAGATGTTGACATCTTTCTCCTTGTTGTACAGCGCCAAGACCGCGATCGGATGATCGGCGGCCACGCCCTCGAAAAAGGCCACCTGGATTCGTTCACCGTCCATCTTGCTCAGCGTCCGGTCCAGCCCCTCTTGACAATTCTCGCTGGATCAATCACACCCACGGATCGTCACCGGGATATAAACTGACAGCAATCCATGCAACCCAAGAGCAGCAGCAGCAGCAGTAGCAGCATTCGTCAGCAGCAGTCGTCAGCCGTACACAGCAACACCAGCACCACCAGCACCAGCAGCACCAGCACCAGCACCCGGGCCACACACCTGTCGCAGCACTGGAGCCCAGAATGCAAAACACCAGAATGCGAACGGAGTGAACGGTTTTCAGATTTTTCTCGTGTGAGTTTAGTCTGCGTTTTCTTCGTATCTTCCTTCATCTTCTCTTTGTACTTTATGCTTACTAAAGCTAGCAAACTTTTGCATTTCTTCTTCTTCTTCTGCTTCTTTTGCCTCTTCTTCGATTTCTCAACACTACAAGCTTGAGAATTGTCAGATATTTTTTGCTTGGTGACGGGGTGACGACGCAGCAGCAGCAGCAGCAGCAGCAGGCGAAGCGCGCCGGCAGCGGAAGAGCGCTGCTGCAGAGGGGGTTGTGGGACGGCGAAGAGGTGTGTGTCGTCGGTGAGGAAGGAGAGAAGGGAAGGGCAATGTCAAGATGAGCGGGTCTGCGACGCCGCAGCGGCTCGCGAGCAATCATGCAGAAGAGGCAGAGCAACGAAAAGAGGTATGCGTGTTTGGCGCTTGACACCACGCGCCACCAACGCTCACCTTTGCTGCCTTTTACGTTTTCGATGTTGCATTTGTTCTTGCTGTGAACCCTGTTTTGCGACGAGATCAGCTTTGGCAACGACTGCGGCAACACAAGGCAGAGCGGGTGGCGCGACAATTTATCAACAATGCTGCGCGCGATAAGCCCATCACCCGGACGAAGCGGCACCAGGCCCTGCCCATCGAACAAACGGCGCCTCTGAGCTTTCTGGAAACTGCCACCGGCCTCGAGGCAGAAGCCTCCGAGCGCAGGTCAACGGTCCGAGAGCCAGCAGCAATAGCATCGGCACAGCCTGAAGCTATTGTTGAAGCCTTTATGCAGCGTCGTCAATACATCCGCGACCAGCAGCATCGTAAGTCTTGGTGTGTGCATGCAGCTTACTCGCGGCCATGAACACTTTGCCTGATCCAGTTCCCACTACTTGTCGTGTAAACCTAGATGCCGGTGAGGTGCGTGCGTTCCTCCAGAGCAAAAATCGTGTTCCGGCTGAGAATCGTGTCTTGGCTCAGGCGTTGGACCAGCCAGATGCAGATCACGGTCCAGCAATCGTGGCTCCGGCCCAGTCATACAATGGACAGCCTGGACCGACTTCGCCCGTCCCAAAGACTGGCACGGGCACACAAGACACCACGAAACCAAGCCCGCTGCTTCCGGCCATGGGCCTCGACCCGCACATCCGGGAGTTTGTGCGGACGAACCGCTGGCAGCTTCATGATCTCTTTTCCCGCTTCAAGCGAACGCCTGAAGACTATCATCTGACGACAGATGCGCTCTGCCGCTGGTTTGCGGTAGTAGGTGGACTAGCGGACCCGGACCCGAACGAGCGGCGCGTCATGGGCCTACTGTACCGTCCCTTTCGTGGCGATTTGCGAGGCATCTCGACACGACAAATTCAGCGCTATGTGGCACACTGTGGTGTGGGCGCAGGGAGATTAGTGGATTACCGTTTGTTGCTTGACGACCACGTTTCGCAAGTGATGAAAGAACAGCGTTTGCGTCACGACCGGGTTTCGCGCCGTCGCCATGGACTGCCTCCGCGATCTGAAGAGGAAGTGCATGAAGCCATTGCCGCATGCTTGGCGCGCAATTGCGATCCGAATAGCTGGCTTGACTCTTTGCCCTTATGACCCTGAGTGGGAGCTCGACGCACAAGCATACCCGCCCATGCTGCCTGTGACACGCATCTTGTAGCTTTGTCCCAGAAATGGCTTTGACCTCATGATGTGATGATAATTGACCTCTATGACTGCTCACTGGGTATCAGAACTGACCAAGAAGATGAGGAAGGAAGGGTCACGGGGCACAAGCACGAGAGATAGGAGGGTCGGTCGAATGAGATGAGGTGACAGCTTTTACAACTCAGACTAGCTTTCTAGGGTTGAGACGGTTAAAAATCGCCTACCCCAACTATTTTTCAGTACATCTCGTGTCTACGTATAATAATAAGATTGCATTCTTTCGGTGGTTTGGGCTCCCCAAACGGGCTTTACTGCAAAAGTTGTCCACTTTCGAGACACCAAAGCTTCCAGCCAAAGTAAATGCCCGCCTTCCCACCACCTCCATGCTATTGACACCGCCCTACCCAGGCCAAGACCCTCGCCACTGTCTAAATACTCATTCATCACGACCATGCCACAAATGACTGTAAATTTGTGATTTTATTCCCTAAAAACTCTCTCTCTGTATCTCTGTATCTCTGTGTCTCTGTCTGTCTGTCTCTGTCTGTCTGTCCCTCTCTCTGTCTGTCTGTCTCTGTGTGTCTCTGTCTGTCTGTCTGTCTGTCTGTCTATCTGTCCGTCTCTCTGTCTCTGTGTCTCTGTCTCTCTCTGTCTCTTCTTCACTCTCTGTCTCTTCTTACAGAAAAGAGCTCTCTGTCTCTTCTTAACTCTCTCTGTTGTGACAAAAAAGAGCAAAATGTCTGCAATTGCAATTGTCAGCATCCAGGTGTTGGTTGGACGGCACAGAGACAGGATGGCGTTGTGGCGGCGGATGGCTGCGGCGGTGGTGGGCCGGGGGGATGTTGTGGTGGCCAGGTTGTGGTGGGTGCGTGGGGTGGGGTCGCGGGCCTTGAGTGTGGATGCGTTGCGAGAGGCGGATGGCAAGTGGCGACAAGCCCAGGCTGCGGCACTTCCGGCCATCTCGGTGACGCTGGATGATGGGCTGACTCATGAACTGCAGCCATATACAACTGGCCCTGCTGATCTCGTGTCTCGTACGTCTCTTGTCCCAGCCATGCCGCTGTGTTGCCCAGACCCCCGCGTCAACGGGCCATCTTTGGTGCGGCGTGCTTTGTTGGTGCTTCATACCTTCTTCTGCCTCCGCCCCTTCTAGGCAAGCGGGCCCGGCGCTCTCTGCTGGCCTTGCTCGATGATCAGCCCATCGACCTGTATGCCCCATTGACTTCAGGAGGGCACCTCCGCTTTGTGCCCCTCGCCGACTGGGAGCGGTACAAGGAGGTTGGTCGGGCAGCAAACGCACCAATGGTTGCCTTTTACTCTTGTTTTTTGCAGCTCTCAAGCGCGCTCCGCGCTTGGCTGCCTCGAGCTTTCCGCTCCTAGCAGCCTCGGCCACACCTGTCTGGAGCTCACTTCACGCCACCTCCTCTGCGCTTGCCTGCGTGCCCCGTATCGGCACCTGTCAGATCTACTGGCACTCGGCTTCGCACGTGCTAGGAGCTGCGATCGAGCGCTGCTTTGATCAACATGTGGCCCTTGCTGATGGCCACATGAGCAACAACGGGTACGACCGATGTCAGTTTGGCTGCCTGGTTCCAGCTGCCGACTGGCTAACGACCAGGCCTTGGCTTCTCCTTTCGTGTGTTGCATTGGCGAGCAAACAGCAATGGCTTCTTCTACGAGGGTCTTCTGCAGCCCACAGCAGATTTGGATACCACCATCTTGGATGAGGCCCACCGCGCTGCTGTTGACGCCCATGTTGAAGTGAGTTTGACCGGCATTCGGGAAGTGACGGCTGGGTAAATTGGCGAGTCGCTGACCTAGCCTACATTTTTTGCTTGTTACCCGCTTCCCCATCATCTGCAGGATATTCTCAAGACCCCCGACACCTTTGAGCGGCTAGTGGTGCCGCTTGATCTTGGTATGGTCTGACTTCATCGCCCATCTCACGTCATTCTCTGGCATTCAACATATTCATGGGCCACCCTTTCGACGTGAATTCAGCGAATCACTACTTCCAGGACCGTCCTCGTCATGTCTTCAAGCAATACTATTTGGCGCGTCTCGCAGCCCAGGGTGCCACCCATGTCACCGTCTACAAGTGCGTGTGTGTTTGCCTGCTCTGAGAAGGCTCATGCATTGCACGTGGATTGTCTTGTCATACCCTCACTCTTCCTGGGCATGCATCTTGGTGCAGGCTCGGGGATTTCGTTGATCTGTGTCGAGGTGCGCACGTCTGTGTCAACTCTTGCAGACAAGCCTTCTTGAGCGCCCCCAGTTCCTTGTCGCTTACTTCTCCCATGTTTGATGCTTGCTGCATGTAACATTAGGTCCACATATTGGCTCGACTTCTCACTTTGCCGCGCTCAAGACAACTAATCAGTCTTCAGTGGCGTGGAAGCCTAGTGAGCCGGCATATTTCACAGCTCCGGCAGGCCACGAAGACCGTGAATACAAGTTGCAGCGTGTGCATGCCGTGGCGTTTCCTACTCAAAAGGAGATGAAGCAATACGAAGGTGCGAGCGCAACGGCGCTTGACTGTGCCGCACTGGCGTGTGCTGACCAGCGACCGCTCAACTCTGCTCGCTGTCTTGTATTTGCTTCTGTTTGGAATGCTCCAGCCCGTCTCGAAATGGCCAAGCAACGCACACACCAGCATATTGGACAAGAGCAAAAGCTCTTTTTCCTCGACGCTCGCTCACCTGGTATGTTGTGCCCCCTTCACCTCTTTTTCTCGAGCTTCATATCGCCGCTTGGTTCAGGGTAGGCGAGCACGTGGAATAACGCCGTTTGAGTTTGATTGCTCAACTAGGTGCGCCCTTTTGGTTGCCGCACGGCCTGCGTATTTTCAAGCGGCTGGAAGCCTTGGTGCGCGGAGTTCACAGCAATTATGGATTCGAGGAGGTAGGTTGACTTGAAACGTACACACATTTTACTCATGTTGATGCCCTTATTTCAGTCGTCATCGTGACTTACCTACCACCACGCCAATGCATGAACGATGGCCTAGGTCAAGTCGCCGTTGGTCTACAAGCAGCATCTGTGGAACACATCAGGTCACTGGGAGCATTATAGCGAGGACATGACCGTGCTACAGGTTTGCCTTTTCCTCTTCCCTCCCCCACTTTAGATCTCACTCTTTGCACGCGCGCTCATCTTTGACCACGGCCTGGATCTGGGTGGCATGCCACTAGCATAAGGAGGATGAAGAGGTGTGCCAAGCTCTCAAGCCCATGAATTGCCCGGCACATTGCATCATGTTCAGTCATGAGCCCGTACGTGATGCGCAGCTTGCAAAGCACGGCTGGTTTCTTGCCCCAGCAGCCTGGGAACTCACATGTGAGAGGGCACGTGTCTGACTGTAGCATTCGTATCGTGAGCTACCGCTACGCTTCGCCGAACATTCAGCGCTGCATCGCAACGAAGCATCGGGGGCTCTATCGGGCCTGACGCGCGTGCGCCAGGTAAGCCACCCTCTCATAGTCACTCCAGCAATGATCAATACAAAACGCGTGAGCGTGCTCGTCTAGTCACCTAATTCGAACCTGGCCTTTTGATTGGGTAGTTTCATCAAGACGACGGTCATATCTTCTGCCGACCAGATCAAGTTTCCAGCGAGGTCAGAGGCCTCTGCTATTGATGCATTGGTTTTTGACACGCCTGTTGCTTATCCAACGTCAACACCCTGATGCAACACAGGTGGCACGCTGTCTCGAGGCCATTGGCGTGGTCTACGCTCGCCTTGGTAGGTTTACATTTCCTCTTGCTTCCGACCGACCAAGCACCCCCTCATGGCCCGTGGCCACTGACATTTTGCCCAACTGCAGGACTGACACCCACCGCTGTCCTGTCGACGCGACCTGAAACGGGCTATGTGGGCTCTTTGGAGATCTGGTGCGCGTTGCGCTCCTCGTTCATTGTGAACCACGGTCATGGGCTGTGCCTCACCTGCGATTCCGCTGGCCATGTAACTTGGAAACATGGTTTTGCAGGGCACAGGCCGAGAGCGCCTTGACGCAAGCCCTGCGCGATTCTCAAGTAGCCTTTGACATTAATTCTGGAGGTGCGAGACCGCAAAGATGTGCTCTTACTGTCATCAGCACTAAGCGTCAGGAAGAGTGGCCATTCTTCTTCTTCTTTTTCCTTCTTCCTCGCCTCATTCTTTCGTGCTGGCGATGTCTGGATCATGTTCTCGGACTGTGTCTTAGATGGTGCCTTTTATGGACCGAAGATCGACATCCGCGTTCGCGACGCAATGGGCCGTACGCATCAAACCGCAACCATCCAGGTAGGCGCACCACCGCTCGTGTGTTGGGAAGGCCATCGAGATACAAAAAAAGAGCGATCGGTCTGGTTCAGGCTTGAAAACGAGAGGATGCGAGTGCGCTTGTGCATGGGGGCAGTACGCGGGTGCAACACTGATGATGTTGAATGTGCCAGCTGGACTTTAATATGCCAATGCGCTTTGAGCTGTCATACAAGGATGAGGATGGTGCGCCACAGACACCGGTTCTCATCCATCGTGCCGTGCTCGGTAAGTTTATTTTTGTTTTTATTTTTGGAAAGGCAGCACAAGCTTTACCGCGTGAAAAGCAGCGCTTCTCTGGTGTGCAGTCTGCTGATGGGTCGTGCGTCTACGGTCGATTTGGCAGGCTCTTTTGAGCGTATGATGGCCTTGCTCACAGAGCAGTACTGGGGTCGCTGGCCGCTTCATCTCAGCCCTCGCCAAGTGGGTAACTGCCCCTTGCTCACTGCCGCGTGGCTTGACTCTAAAGACATCCTTTTTTGATCGCTCACATCAAACCTTTGACCACGGTCCTCACTCCATCATGCTGGTCGCTGATTTAGCTGTTGATCCTGCCTGTGTCGGAGAAGCACGCGTCGTATGCTTGGGATGTATATCACGAACTTCAACCATTTGGCCATGTCGATGTAGATGACTCGCCTGTTTCCCTGTCCAAACGCATTGCTCAACAGCGTGTCCTGCGTCACAACTATGTGGCAGTCGTCGGTGACGAGGTGAAGTACCATGTTTGCGCACCCGCCGCCAGGATGCGTTCTTCTGTTTCCTGCCTGCGCCTCTAATGAGGGTTGAATTTCTCTCCGGGCGTGCGTGAGCAGGAAGTGGCCAATGATACTTTGAGCATCCGCCACCGCGACGGGGCATATGTGGCCTCGCCCGACGCTGAGGCTGACTTGGCACGACTGCTGCGCCATGACATGGAGCAATTGCCCGAGGGACCCGCGACGGTCACCACGGTCATGCAAGTCCTGCGCAAAGCACGCAGCATGGAATGGCCCGCACCCAGTAGCGCCCGATGAAGAAGCCAATGAAAGCCACCTCAGCTCAACCCCATGAGCCGAGGTGAGCTGTGTGTCAACTCGTTGTTGAGACCGTGGATGGGTTTTGAATGTGAAAGAGCAAGAGCACCCACGCATGGGCGGTATCACGGTAAAGTGAAGATAGCAGAATCGATCATTCTCGAAAAAGGAACAAAAACAAACATGCCACGTCGCCGCGCCTGCCCAGGCGGCAGACGCAACGGGAAAAGGAGATGAAGACATTGAACGAGCAAAAACATCCGACAGACAGGAGGAGAAAAGCCAGTGGCTCGATGGCCACAAAGTGATGGTCGTGTCTCTAATTCTCATGCAGTTCGAGGAGCTTGGCCAGGTTGTTGTGATAGTGCATGAGGTTTGGGCAGGCATCAATCAGGTGCTGGCGAACGCCCAGGCTATCAAAGCGGACATGAAGAAAGCCGTTTACAGCGGGAAAGAGCCAACAGTCGGAGATGGAAGGCGTTTCGCCATGAACGTAGGTGCGGTTGCGCAACATGGCTTCGGCTGCATCAATGTGCTCGATGGCCATTTCAGCAATGTCTTCGTGGGAGTAGCGCAGCAAACCATAGCCCCAAAGCCAGCGGGCCATGCCGGCGCAAATCATACGGAAAAGCGGGGCACGCAGCAGCGGTGGTACACTGGCCAAAGCCGCGTCGCGAAAGGCGTTGCGCTCCGAAATGGAAGGATTCAACCAGCGTGAGTAGAGCTATCCTCGGAAGACGTGGAAACAGGTAGCGTAAGCAGGCAAAGCCGGAATCAGAAGAGGTGGCGGTCGAGACGTGGGTAGGCGGTCCGTTGGAAAACACAGGACATACCGCGTCGTGATACAAGGATTGATCGACCAGGCTGTCCAGGAGCATGTGACGCAGTTGCTCATCCTCGTCCAGTTGAATCTGCAAACGGCCGAGCATGGGCTTGCCAGTGCCATAGGTGGCCAGAAGATACTTGAGGATATACTTTGAGTCGGGCAGCACCCGGTCACCGTGCTTGATGTAGGGCAGCTTGCCTTTGGGCGCCGTCGACACGCTGAAAATGACATAGGGTGCCAGCAACGGAGTGGCTAGCTGTGAGCGGGCTTGGCTACGTCGCCTGCAAATCGCTTCTTGTGGCAAGGGGGGTGGGGGGCGGTTGCACGTACTCGGCCGTCGTGTGAACTTCATGCGGAATTTGGCAGAGATCGAGAAACATGAGAAGGCGAGCGCAGGCATTGCTCGAGTTGAGCAGTGGACGTGGGCAGGTCGGCGGGAATACATAGAGATGAACCACGTCCTATGACGGGACCCAGAGCAGCACCACAATGCCCAGATCTTGATGTGAGGGTACAGAACCCACAAATAGAGAAGGTGCCTACGCAGAAAGCGATCGGCGACAGGGGATCGGATTCACATGACTATACCTTGGGGTTGCCGGGGGAGACGTCAATGCGCTCGCGCTTGTAATCGGGCACGGTAAAAATCTCGCGCAGGTACAAGAGTCCAGCCACGGTCAGGCCAAGAATGACACCACTGGCCACCTCGGTCCACATGATGCCGTTGGCAATGGGGCAGCCCGCTCAAACACGAAGCAAAATGGTGCAGTCCACACTGGAGTCAGTCGCGTCCGTCGGTGGCCAGCAACTCCTCACTGAACCGCTCAAATCCGTTTTCGAAAATCGTGTGTGTGTGTGTGTGTGTGTTGCGCGTGTCCTTGAGTGCGACGCGCAAAGAAAAGGGTCTCACATTTGGGGGTAAAAATACCACACGTAAAGAAAATAAAAACGGCGCGAAATACGCGAAAGAGAGCGGAAAACATGATCAAGTGGTGCGGCACTAGTGGTGTTCTTCACCCGGCACTGATTGTGCACGTTGTGGAGCAAGCAGAGCAATGAAAGTGGGTGTGATAATGGGTTGTCACGGGGATTTAGCGTTATTGAGACTTCATGGGGCTTGCAGGCTCAAGTCCAAAGCCACAATACGGTGTCAACGATGCTCAACAGCAAGCTGATCTAGCTGAGCGGCCATTCCCTGGGATCAGACGCAGGCGACACACACGTCCGACTGAGCCCCTGTGCTCATCAATTGGAAAACCTCGCAAGAAACTCTGCTATTTCGCTTGGTTTGTATCGAGTTGCTTGGCCACCAGCCGTTTCATCGAGCGACTCGAAGCAGCTCGGGCGCACATCCCTCGAGACCTTTGGCCAGAAAGATCATGGAGCATGGTTCAATGTCTCAACAAGAAGTGAGTCCAAGCATCTCCGTCGTGAGGTTGTTGTCGCGTTCTGGACTCCAGCCTGACTCCTCATTTCCAACCTGTATGATGCCAGGCACCATTGATGGCACTGGTGGGGCACGAAGAGCTATCACGCCGCATTGACACCTTCCTCAATGGGGCACGCATGGGAGATGCCAGCCGCCACCTCGTGCTTCGGGGTGGCTCTGGTACGGGGCGCACCAGTCTATTAGCAGCCGTCACACAGCGCTGGGCTCACCGCCTCGATGTCGTGTCCTGGGTCACGAAATTCGGGATCTCCCGGATGCCCTTTGCTGGACTGCGCCAGCTGCTGCTCTTTCGAAATAACCAGCAATCGTGCTCATTACCAATGTCGACCCCTTTGGGTGCCCCACCGTCTCTTGCGCGTCTGGTGAACGCCTGTAATACGGCGCAAGATGCAACAGCATCTGGCAACGCGGTGATGACAGATGTGGGCGATGCGGACGCTGCGCGTGCCCGGAAGCATTCCGCTTCGCTTCTCATCCCCCCTCGCGCAGCATACTGCGATTTTGCAGTCACGCTCTTGCGAAACACGGTTGTGCTCATCGATGACTTTGACCAAATGGACCCTGATAGCCGCGATGTGCTTTTGCACTTGGCGGCAACACGGGCTGTGCTGGCGCTTGTGGTCACGGTCCTGCCCCATGTGCCCGTGCTCCCGCCAGGCATTCCATCGCAGCTGCTGGCAACGACAGAGCTCATCTTGCGTCCACTCACCACCGAGCAGCTTGGTCGACTGGCCTGTTGTCAGCTCAACCTGAAGGTCCTGCCGCCGACCATGCATGAACTGCTACACACACACGGGCGCGGAAATCCTCTCTTTTGTGTAAGCATTTTGAAGTTGTTGCAGCAGGCCAAGGCACAGCACCACTTTGATCAGGCTGGCGGCGATTGGCTATCCTTACTTCACGTCGGCAAGCCTGGAGCAAGTGTTGCTCTGGCGGCTCACCAAGTGTTGCAGCAGGTTCACTTGGGCTGCCTGCCCGCGGCGGCCATGCATGTACTCAAGTGCTCGGCCGTGGTGGGCCCTGTGTTCACCGCTCAAGATCTGATAGACTTGGGCCATGCTGGGACGAGTTCAGCTCACAAGCTCTTTGAACTTTTGCATGTGCTCCAAGATGCTGCGTTGATTCAAGCCCTTCCAGGGCCCGCTTCGGCTGCTACGTTTGCTTTTTGCCACGCTTCGACCCGTAGCTTTGTGCTCAAGCAGTGGCCCATCATTCTGCGTCAGCGCTTGCATGCACAAGTGGCAAGCCTGTGGGAAAGTCAGCTTAAGGCAGGTGTGGCGCGTGGGCTCTTGCGCCCTGATGACCGGCTGGAAAGGCTCTACCGCATCTCAGATCAATGGGAGAGTGCCGGACAGACTCAGTCCATGTATATGACATGGCTGTCGATTGCCGAGGAGCATTTTCATGATGGCGACCACTACAGTGGGATCAAGACACTTGAGGCGCTCATTGCACCTGAATCAACTCTTGTGCAGCCTCTGCGCAGATGCGTTGAGGTCCTGCTTCACAACCACGCTCAAGCTCAGTGAGGCCCCGCGATAAGCCACTTTGATTAATATTGCCTAGGTTGCGACGCAGTTGCATCAACATAAGGCAACCTCTCCCTTGGACAGGTGCCGCATCGTTTAGTGCAAAAGCAAAACAAAATTGAGACCGGTCAAGGACAAGAATGAATTCATTATGCGGTGGTACAGACACAAGTCACACGCTTGTATTCACATGCACACTCGCTCACACATACAAGCGAGGAGGCAGAAATTGGCGTACAGCCCCACAGGGTCGCGCTCCTTCAACTCGACACACGTGGGCAAATGAAGGATCAAGCCATCACATCATTCACCAAACAAAGCAAGGACAGGTAAAAACGAAAATAAATCAAGCAAGTGGGTCAAAAGCAATGACAGGAGACTCTACTTGTCCATCATCTCGACCTTGTCAACGGAACGCTCTTCATTGGGGTTCTTGGCATTGTTGGAGCCCATGAAGCGCATGAGATTATCACTCATAAAGTAGGAGCCGGGCTTGTTACGATCGCAGTCCTCAGCCCAGCAGAGGAAGATGGTGTCGATGGCCATGTCATAGACGGTCAGGAACTCGTCAGCAATGAAGAAGGCAATGACACAGCTGGCAAAGACCACAGCACCCCAGTAGTTGAGCTCGTTCTCCATGTTGCCGTCCTGCTGAATGTAGAGGTAGGTGAAGATACCAGTGGCACAGACAATGACCAGCTTGCACACGAAAATGATGACCGAAGTCACCGTGTTCAAGGTGACAACGCGCAGCAAGTTTGCTCCCAGCACTCGGAAGGCCTACCAAAATTGGCAGATGACGATGCAATGAGTTTGGATACAAGATGATTCAAGAGAAGAAGCATAAAACAGGCCAGAAACACCGGGAGGCAGTCACATGGAACAGAGAAGGAGACGCCGCGGCCACGGGGGTCAAAATCCGCCAGTTTGCGCTTGAAAAAGATCGTACCCGTGCAGCAGCGCCACAGAAGCTGTATCCGGAGATAGCAATCTCGATGTAGGCGTTCTTGTTGATGAAGGACAAAAACTTTTCCAGGCACCAGAAGCAGCACATGCAGCAGCGCAAAATGCAGGTGACAATTGGACCGGTACGGTCCTCGGTCTTCTCCTTGATGTAATACAGGATAGCCCGGATGAACTGGATGATGGCGATGATGAGCGAGCCAAAGGCCAGGGATCCAATGTGATAGCGCAGAGTGCGGTAAGTGGAACGCAAAACTGTCAGACGCAGCGTGCTCTTATCGCGCGTAAAGTACCTGTTGGGCGGAACAGTGTGCAAGTGAGTTTGCGTGGGCAATGGCGGTGAACAAGGTGACGGGAAGAGGAGGAGGGTCGAGCAAACGAGAGAGGCGGGTGGGGACTGGAGAGGGTATTTGGCGCTTCGGGCACGTACCAAGTGGCAATGGTGCCAGCAAGCACCATTTGTTCAAAGGCCAGAATAAACTGGGTGTTCCAAAAGAGGGAGAGGATGAGATACCACCACTGTTTGCGATAGTTTGAGTCGCTACTGTCTTGGAAGAACACGTGATAATCGCCGTCCTCTGCGGCATCGCCACGAGTGATCATGAAGGTGTAGATGTAGGCCCAAAACACGATAAATCCAACGAGGAAGGCATTGCTCCAAACGGGGGTCAGGAAGATCTGCGGGCACATGGAATGCATGAGCCAGGGACAGCGCAGCGGCCCCTCTAGCTTGGTGGTGGCGCGGCCATACCTGTGGCAGTTTGCGGGCGGCGGTTGAAGCTTCTTGGAAGATGGCCACAGCGAGGGCGATGCGGCGACGCAAGGCGATGACGACGATCCAGACAAGAGCAGTGAAAATCCAGGCCGCGATGGACACGCCATAGAGGAAGTCACGATTGGTGGGCTGCGAATCAGGTACCGCTTCGCCGTTGGCCCGAGCCTGTTTTGCCCAACAACCAGGGAATCCCATACCAATTGAGTTGCCTCACCGCGTTACAGCCAGAGGAGCCGAAGGGGGCGGCGCAAGCCAGAGAAGTGGGCAGTCAATGGCAGCGTACCGTGTCAATGTCATCGCGAACTTTGCGGTACTCGACGGTTGAAACGATGGCGAGGCCCAGGGAGGCCAGCATACCCGCCAAGATCAACGTGTAAATGATAACTTTGCCAAAGCACCTACAGAAAATGATTCAAATTTAATCCTCGAAATGTGGGACTTGTCGCTGTGATAACGGCGGTTTCAAGCAGACGGGCAGAGCGTGGACGCACCGCATGAGGAAGATGACGACGATGCTGACGATGATCGAAGCCACGGCTCCGTAAACGATGATCCAGCGACCGGTCACAAGATCGGACATGAGCTTCTCAGCGACTGTATTTGCGCCCACGAGGTTGAGGACATCTTCAGCAGCGCCCGTCACGGCAAGGGGAATGCAACGGCGAAGGCCAAAGCGGGAATCGGCAGCATAAATGGTGTCTGGGCATGGGTTGGCTGCCTCGGCGGTGCTGGTGTGGTTGTTGGCCACAGCCTCTGTGAAAGCGGTCCAAAGGACGAGAGTGTAAGCGGCGAGCATGCGCGGGTAGAGCCTGAGCAAAACGGGACAGTGGCACACAGCAACTGATGGTTCTAACCGTTGTAGGCATCAGAGTAGGCGCTGGAAGACAGACACACGCCGAGCTCAACGCATTTGGTGATGTTGTCGGAGCAGGTGAAGGAGCTACCACCAAGATCCTCTTCAGTAGGGCAGGCGGAGATGCAAATGTCAAAAGAGTCAGAGTCGGTTGGGTTGGTATAGTAGAGAAACTTGTAACCAGTCAGATCAATGCCGGAGAGCTCCGATGTGATGCCAGAGAGGGAGGAGCGGCCGGCGTTTGATTCATCGCAAAGGTTGCCCCAAGAGTCAGTGCCGTAGACGATGCGCTCGGGCTCGCCATCGCTTAGTGCGATACCGGCGATGGTGAGAAATCCGACCCAAAAGAGGACAAAGAGGAGCAGGCAGGGAATATCCCGGCAGCGACGGTCCTTAATGGGTCCATCGAGTTGCTTTTGTTGCAACTCTTCAACTTCATCGTCCGTGTTGCAGCACGGCATGGCTGACGGTCGATCTTGATCCTGTGCCAAGCAAAAGGGCGGGGCGGCTGCGATCAGCACCAGGTCGTTTGGGCACACGGTCAAAAAAGAAGAAGGCAACAACAGGCGGGTGGAAGGGTGTTGTGGATTCAGGGCAGAGCGAGCATGGCTCAAGAGGCGAAAGGCTAGGCAGGTCAGACGAGGATGGGGTGCTATGAAGCAGGGGAGCGGGGAGGGACGAGCTGGTGGGCGGGGCAAGCTGAGCGTCGAGCATATCTCACCCTACAAAACGTCAAGAGCAGCTACGGTTTCTATGGCCTGCGATAAATCAAGAAAAACAGGAGCACCAACCAAGATCAGACACCTTGACACTGTGCATTTGTCCCCCGAACTAACGCCATCCGCCCGCCCAGACCCCAGACCCACCCTCTTGTCGTCAACGCCCTCAATAGAAAAAAAAAATAATTTCGTCAGAGTTTGAGAGAGAGAGAGAGAGAGTTTGAGAGAGAGAGAGCGAGCGATAGACATAGAGTTTGAGAGAGTTGGAGAGAGATTGAGAGAGTTTGAGAGAGTTTGAGAGAGCTTGAGAGAGAGTTTGAGAGAGTTACTGAGAGAGAGAGAGAGAGAGAGAGAGAGAATTTTCATAGAGAGAGCGAGCAATCAACATCTCATCTTTTCGCGCCGTTTGTTCTGCAGTGCAAAGGGGCTGCAGGATCAATGGCCTTGATCGCCACAATTGGCGGCTGCCTAGATCGAAAAGGCCACCACCGCCGCCGCCACATTTATATGCGCGAGTTTCTAATGACCCGAACGTTGTGGCGGCTCACACGTGTGAAAAAGGGGGCGGTTGGGCTTGTCAGGAGATCCTGAAAGTCGACATAGGTACACACACACACACACACACACACACACACACACGCCATAGTTTGGCTGGATCAACAGAGCGTGCTTTTCCTGGTACAAGCAAACGGGAACCGACAAACCGACAACGTCACAGACGGCCTTGTAGATTGCTGTACACGCAGGCAGAGAGGCAGACAGCTGTGACCACGGTCGGATATCCGACTGGTCAGACCGGGCGGACGGCTGCCTTCCCATTCCACCACATCTCAAGAGGACCAGCCCGGTCTGTTATCCTGGCTAAAGTTGTCGTGAGTCCTCCGTTCTGCTCATCTCGATGACGTGCAACCATGAAAAGGTTTACGCCCTAAAACCCGTTGCAAAGCCCTTCACATTTGAGCAAGACGGGGTTCGCCTTTTTGCTGACAATGGCGTTACAGGTGGTAGCGCTTGGCGACGCGTATGCGAGCCAAGTCTAACGTATGTCACACATTACCAAGATACCTTGGCAGATTGCTTCTGGCGCTGGCGGGCAATTGCATTTTGTCGAGCGACACACTACCACTGGACTCGACTCGGACGGCGGTGGCGGTCTCGTGCAGGATTGAGAGGGCTTGGGAACGCACAAGTGTTGTGTTGACGTCAACTGACTGACTGACTGACTGACTGAATGTCGTGTGCCTGCGGTACTGCCACTCAAACCAAAACAATGGGTCGTCGTTTCTTTGTTGGCGGCAATTGGAAGCTGAATGGCTCCCGCGCCAGCATCCAGGAGCTTCTCGAGGCCTGGGGCAAGGCTGACCTCGATAAGTCTGTTGGTACGTGTTTGAGTCATCGAGTATGCGCCTTGGACACCTGGTCCGCTGCTTCACGACCCGTGTGGAACCAGACCGTCTCCGTCCCCGTGACCTGTGCTGAGCCTCACGTCTTGCTTTGGCCCCACGACACAGAGGTGGTCATCTCCCCACCAGCCGTCTACGCCGACTTTTTGCGTGCCAACATGCCCGCAGAGTTTGGCCTGGCGCTTCAAAATGTCTACAAGGAGGGCAGTGGCGCCTTTACCGGCGAAAACAGGTTAGCTCTCGCTACCGCCCCCTCTCAGACCCGTACTGGCCAGTAAGGCACCCTAACTCTCCAACTTCTGAATCGATCCTGCGGCTTCTTCTGCAGCGCCGACATGGCCCTGGATGTGGGTGCCGACTGGGTCATTCTGGGCCACTCGGAGCGCCGTAGCATTTTTGGCGAGTCCAACGAGGTAAGCGTGCACTATGAGCAGAGGACGCCTTCGTACACCCGGCACCACCACAACGCACGCGTCTCGAACCTGATTGCACGCCGGCCCTCTTCTGATGATGATTGATTATTCTCTTAGCTCATTGGTGAGAAGACCGCATACTGCCTCGGCAAGGGCATCAAGGTGATTGCTTGCGTCGGAGAGCAACTTGAAGAGCGTGAAGCCGGTAACACCCAGGCCGTTGTGGAAACCCAGTTGAAGGCCATTGCTGGTATGTGCAATCCCGTGTTACAATGTCGTGTTGCGACCCGTTGTTGCAGTGCCGTGTTACTCTCGCGCTCAGACACGGTGCCGTGCCGTCCATTCGGCAACTGTGCTTTGATGTCTCATGATTCTTCTGTGCTGACTTGCTGCACTTGTATAGCCAAGGTCTCCGACTGGTCCAAGGTCGTGATCGCCTACGAGCCCGTCTGGGCCATCGGCACTGGCAAGACAGCCTCACCGGAGCAGGCCCAGGAGGTCCATGCCAGCATCCGGGCCTGGCTCAGCAAGGAGGTCAGCGCCACGGTCGCTGCTGAGACCCGCATCATCTACGGAGGTACGCCTTGGCTCTAGCCTGCCTGCAAGCAGACAGCATCACGTCCTCGTTTCAGAGCCCAGCCCGGGCCTGTCTCTCAACGTGATCAGCTCATTCCCTGTTGCGCTCGTGACATGGTGGTTACAGGCTCGGTCAAGCCAAGCAACTGCGCCGAGCTTGGCAAGCAGGAGGACATTGACGGTTTTTTGGTGGGTGGCGCTTCCCTCAAGCCCGACTTTACCACCATCATCAATGCCCAGAAGGCCTAGGTCGCTCGGCTGGCTTGGGCTCAATTGTGCAGCGGCAGCTGGCTCCATTTTCGCACATACCAACACACAAATCTAAAAGTTAAAAGAATGGCCCTGCCCTTTGGCGGCTTTTTCCATGGTGTAGTAGCATACTTTCTACTTGAAAGAGATGCGCCTTTGGGTGTATCAAATTTGTAAGCCTATGCCCGGCCTCATTGAGGCCACTTCAATCATCACGGGTATACAAGCACAAACACAACACGCACAATCAGGCGCGTGCGCTGACACGAACACAGATAAGGACAGGCAGACCGACAGACGGACAAACAGACATCAAATGTGATGAAACAAACATGGTTACAGCCTGATCTGGAATCAAAGGACCCGGCCTCGCAATCCACCCGCGCGCACGCGCCTCAGCGCATGGTCGCGAGGAAAACTGGGTATGGACCAAGGTCACAGTCGAGCCAGCAAGGTCGAGGTGGCGAGGTTCGCAAAAAAGCAAGGACCAATCAAGTAGAAGTAAAAACATCTAGACAAATGGCAGCTAAAAAACGCGATGCCTTTGAACTGACAACAGCGCACGAGCCAAGACTCGCGTGCTGCAGCACCAAGGGAGGTCTGAGCGCAGGACATGGCTCGGTAGGAGGGCACCTCAAAAACCAAAACAAAAACCAAAGAACCATTCCGGTGACATGGACACAAACAAAAACTCAAGCCGAGGTGACTCGAAATGGAGGCGACTCGAAATGGAGATTCAAGGACAGAAGCCACGACACGGGCTGTCGGTGCGGCCTAGCCGAGCACCGGCGAACCACGCGACACCGGGTGATGGCGCTGGGTGGCAGCCATGGACATGATCATGTTCGGAAGGAGAACTGGCGCAGGTACTGGTCGGTTTCGGAAGCCACCTTTTGGATGCGATCTTCGACAAAATCTTCCTTGTTTTCCTCCTGCCTCTTCTTGAGCTCAGCCTCCTTTTCCTGGATGCGCTTGAGCTCTGCTTGACGCTCGGCTTCCTCGGCGGCCTTCTTGGCCTCCCATTCGGCCCGCATTTTGCTGCGACGTTCCTCCTCGGCAGCTGCGCGACGCTCGCGCAGCGCCTTCATTTCCTCCTCAAACTCACCAAAGTCTGGTGCGTTATCTGTGTCATAATCTGCCTCATCCGGAGCTAACAGCGAGTACCAGGGGGAGGGGGAAAGTCGGGTTAACATTCCAGCCGCAAGCGTCAGGGGTAAACTGTATAACCTCTGCCAGACTGAGCACATGAAACATACCAGCGGCTTCTTCCTCGTCGGAAGAATCATCAGGAATGACGTTGCCGTCTTCATCACGAAGCATGTTCCAATCGCGTGAGCCAACGCGGCCAACCTGAATCTTGTCGGCCTCTTCCTTTTCGCGGCGGCTCTCGTAAAAGAGCTTGTCCGGGTTTAAGGCTTTGTAAATGCGGCTATGCTCTTCCTGTTGTGCTTTGAAGAGTTTGGACGACTGCCAGGACCAACACGGCATGACAAGTGAGCGAGGGATCGGACTGGGTTGGGAGGCGGGTGGGACGAGCTTGGCAGAGAGACGCGTACTTTGGCATGCTTGTCTGGCTCTTCGGGCGTTTCATTGGCAAACGCAGCATTCTTGGAAATGTCAATCGCCAGGCGCCCCGTAATCTTTTTCTGTGGAGATGCAAAGTTTTTGATTCACACGGGGATGAGGAGCCCGAGCGCGTGACGAAGATGGATCACTTCAGGGCTTGCACGTTTGGCGGCGCGGGCGGAGCACGGACCGATTGCACGCGGGCGACGGCCTTGGCTTCTGCGTTGTTGTCCTCGACGCTATCGGGCAAAGCAACAACGACGTCTTCTGAAGACTTGGACTCTTTTAATTTGTCCGTCTGTTTCTTGTCGGCCTTTTTGTCGGCCTTTTTGTCTTGCTTGGCGGCCTTTTTATCAGACTTCTTGTCGGCAGGTGCGGGTGCGGGTGCGGGTGCGGATGCAGCCCCGTTCTTGTCTTCAAAGGTGATTTGTGTTTGAGGCTCTTCCTTCTTGGCCTGGTGTGAAAGGTCACAAATGGCGTGAAGCAACAGGGGTCAGCAAACGCAGCAGGGTCTGCGTGTGGCTCAGATGGTGAGCGGGCGAGCGCACCTTGGAACCCTTGCCTCCCATGATGCTGGTGCTTGACGCCGAGCGCTGGACACGGTAGGGTGAGGTCAAGACCGCGCAAAGGGGCGAGGTGGTGCAGAAGGGGGCGGGAAGAGGCACGCGAGGTGTCCAACGCTCGCCGGCCCACGTTGTTTCCGCAACAAAGGCTATCAGAACAGGTCCAGCAGACAAGTCCGACCAACAAGACTGTGAGTTGAAGCAAACGACACAGTCCCTTCCCATGCAGCGTTCAACTTGAAACCAGGCTGTTGAGTTGATAAGCCTTTCGAATGCCGGCATCTGTCAGACACCCGCCCACGCAAAGCCCGCCTGGCGTCCAACGCCCCCCCCCCCCCCCCCCAAAAA